GCGAGGCATGCCGCTAAACACGGCTTTGTCGGCATGCTTGGGAGTATTGATTGCACGCATTGGGAATGGAAAAATTGTCCCACTGCGTGGCACGGTCAATTCTCCCGGGGAGATCATCCCAAGCCTACCATCATGCTCGAAGCTGTTGCTTCCAATGACTTGTGGATTTGGCATGCTTTTTTCGGTGTCGCGGGCTCGAACAACGACATCAACGTTCTCGATCAATCGCCTGTTTTTGACGATTGGGTTAATGAGACCGCACCGGACTCCTCTTTTGAGCTTAGAGGGACGCTTTACAAGCGTGGATATTATTTGGCTGATGGAATATATCCGGATTATTCCACGATTGTCAAATCTCTCTCCGAACCAATGGGTCTTAAACGCCAAACCTACAAAACAGCTCAAGAGGCGGCGAGAAAAGATATTGAACGAGCCTTTGGGGTCTTGAAAGCTAAGTGACACATTCTAGATCGTCCGTCGAAATATTATTCTCAGACAAAAATGAGGAATATCATGTACGCATGTATTATTCTTCATAATATGATCATAGAGGATAACGAGTCTGCGATTTGTCAATACAACCCGGACGAGGAGGTGCCTATGTACGAAGAAATCACCGAAGAAAAGAAACGACGCAACCGCCAAGAAATTCGAAGCCGAGAGATTCACAATGCACTAACGGCGGATTTGATCGAGCATATCTTTAGTCGTTCGAATAATTAGTGATTTTTTGTACTGTTGTTTTTTTTATGTAATTTTTTATAATGAATGTAATTTTTTTTAAATTTATTTTATGAATGTAAGATTTTTTTTATATTGAATTTAATTTTTTTTATGCAATAGTGTCATTGTGATTCATTAAAATAATAAATTAATTTAAATTTATAAATTTAAATTTAGAAGATGTATATTTAAAAATGTAAAAAATGAAGGTTTGAAGCCCCAGTTTGAAATCCGGGGCTTCAAAACCATTTCCAGTGAATTTTGGGTGTAAGTTAAAGCTGACGTGGCAGAGAGAGAAAGTTTGAAGCCCCGGTTTGAAGCCTCGGGGCTTCATGACCATTACGAGTGCTCTAATAGTGGTTGGTGAAAAGTAAAAAGAAAGGTGTTTTACAAAACACAAAAGTCGATGCTATTCCGTAGTAAATTCATGTTTTTGAAGTAATCTACTCTTATGCAAGTTTATCACAGTGACAGATTCGAATATTTTCATTTCCAAGACTATCTTTGTTAAAGGAACTTAGAAGGAAAACAAAAGACTCTACAATCCCTCTCTCCAGAAATATTCTTTCCATTTGACTTTTCACGATCTCCAATGTTACACTTTAACCATTAATATCCAAATTTATACATAGATATATTTTATAAAAATTGATATTTGAAAACTGTGTTTCATTAGAAATATATTGATATTAAGTTTATATCATAATATAATGTGTTTTTTCTACAAATCGTAGTGAAAGTTTATAAACTTTGACCAAGAAAAATCAAATGTGAAAAAAACATTTCCAGACGGAGGCAGTATTAAAACTAAAATAAGAGAATTTTGGATTTTACTCATCTTAATGCATTTTACCTTTTCATTTTTTTCTTCCACTTTTCTTTTCCTCTCACTCGATTAAAAAACCGTTCATAAAGAACCTTTCATTTCTTGAAAAAAAAAACAAAAGACAAATTTTGTGGATACAAGTTTGTGACTGAAGAATGCTACTTTAATCAACTAATTTTTTGTTTCACATTAAACTTGTAGTAGGTAATGAATTATTTCGAACCAAGTTTATATGTCAACCATGTCAAAAGGGATCAAATTGAAAAATGAGACAATTAATATTACCAATAATAATAAATAAAAATAAATAATAATAATAATAAACAATAATTATAATAATCGTAATACTAATAATAATGTTGCTAAATCAGGTAAATTTGTGTTTGACTTTAAACTTGTACTCCGTCGTAGGTAGTGAATTATATTGAACCAAGTTTATATGTCAACCATGTCGTCAAAAGGGATGAAATTGAAAAAGGAGACAATTAATATTAGAATTAACAATAATAATAATAATAATAATAATAATAATAATAATAATCATGGAGAAATGCAAATATGGGGTCCATTAAACTCCAAGTAAATGATGAACAAATTATGAGTCGGACATACAAAAATAAATGTAAAATTTCAATATACACTCGAGGGAAATAGTACGGACTCGGGAGAACGAGTTTTAGGGACCGACCTCGCATGTCCTACACATGTATAAGTCCAGGTTAAAGTGGGAGTTGGCCTTAGAGTTTTCCTTGAGATGATTCATGAAATGGGTACAAAATGATGTTGACAAAAAACAGTTTATATCTGTATTAGAGTTTGCAAGAACAGATCAAACTCCCAATATGATTCATAAGTTCATATCCATTGGTTGACTGAATGATTTGCTCGAGTTCCCCAGCAAATGGTTTTCTTCTGACCCTGTGATTGATCCCTAGCAAACATAACATAAACTCGATTCGTTATGTGCCCGTGGAAGTAAAACGCCTTTTTTTTGCTTGGAACAGGGGTTTGGTAATACCTTCAAGTTTGTTTGGTTTAATGTCGGCTCTGCTTCTCTCGGTCGTTCATCGATTTTCATGTCGTCCTGAAGAGTCAAAAGGGGGACGGGCACATTCAAGAAAACATGTCATCATCCACAATTCTTATAAGGTTGAAACATGGGGTGGCATCCGTGTTCGGTTGGAGGGGGGGGGGATGCCAACATTTTCCCTCCCTCCACTCCCCTCCAACCAAATACCCCTCAAAAGCTAACATTTCCCCTTCCCTCCCAACAAACCAAACAAAGGAAAGGAGGATAGTAGAAGTTTAAACGAGGTGTGTGGGGTACCCTAACTTGCACACCAGTGTATCAGAGACACACACCATTGCCTATGTGTGTCTCTGATGCACAGGTGTGCAAGTTAGGGTACACCTAGCTTTTCCGGTTTAAACACACCATTGAGCCTCCCCTCCCCTCCCCTCCCCTCCAAGATTATTCATTTAAATTCACAGAATGATACATACTGTGTCCTTGGCTTCAGGTTCAATTATCTCCCTTTTCACTCGTCCAGGGAGAAATTTACTGTAAGAAAATTATGACTAATTAGAATGTAGCTATATAACTAAAAACCATAAGAAATTATCCAAAGGTGTAAAAGGGAAAGAGTTGGGAATGAGGGTTGGGAAAATAGAGAGGAATGTACCGTTCATCATCATTTACATCAAAATCACGACCCCACCGATTATCTTCACCATCTTGATCTTCATTAGCCTGAAAATAACTGAACTCCAATAAGTTTTTCAAACATAACTACGATAAGTTATCAGTTACTCTGTATCATGTAATCAGATCTCAAACGGTAATAAAGTTTAATGGGAACCATTACGGACACCAAGACTCTCAAGCAAATTTAATGTTTAAGATATTCCCCTACACAGCACTATATATAGTGAAACAATCTGTTCAAACTTCAATGCATTTTGTCTGACTATAGTCATATTAATAAGGAGAGTAACAGAGTACACTATCTAGACTACCATTGTGGAGTAGATAATATGTTAGTGTTGTGTACTACATTTCTCAAGAGTAAAAACTAATTCCCCATAAATTACTCTCATTTTCAAGTGGTAGCCCTGAGTTGAACCGCAACTTCCCCATCAGCAAACAGATGTACCAAAAAATGAAAATAAAACATTTAAGATAGAACAGCTAAAAGATATTATTGGTGATGCTGAACTCAATTTTCTTCCACACGTCTTTTTCTGTTCTGTCTTGTACAGTTATAGTTATACCATATCAAAATCATGTTTTTCCTTTCAATAAATACTTCATCCATCCCATAAAAAGAGTCTTGTTTCACAATGATACAAATTTTGAATTTCAGTAAGGTATGACTAATAGAAATCATCAAATATAGCTATATTTTTTTACAGGTTTAACTAAATTTAACCCAATGAACTTATTTGAAAATATTGTTATAAAATGTCACATATAATGAAAACTGGCTCTTTTGTTCAAATAGGACTCTTTTTGGGACAGATACTATGTTTTTAGAAAAGCTCTTTGCATGCATGTTGAGACACATGTAGAAGCTGGTATGATGGAGAATAAGAAGAGCAGAGAAAAATCAGAAAGGTTTCGAGAGTGATTTCTAACATTTGTTTCATTACTATACAAACATTGAGGAGGATAAGCATTTCAGGATCAAACATCTCCACCGTCATACTGATCCTAAAGATGAGTAAATACATTGCAAGTCTTAGTACGTACCTCTGGGAATTCAGTATCTGGTGGCCTCTCCTGGAACGGCACACTAGGTGCGTGCTGAAGTTTTGACAGATAATCAAGAAGCTTTGCTCTTATTTCTTCCACCATCTGACGGGAATTTTTGTTCTCCATGTTACTTGGGGCAACATAAAGAGTATAATCTGGACCAAAGTACTCATAATATTCATGCTGTGGAATCTTGTCATCAAGCTCCATGCCAAGTGCAACTCCTGTCTGNTTGAGGAGGATAAGCATTTCAGGATCAAACATCTCCACCGTCATACTGATCCTAAAGATGAGTAAATACATTGCAAGTCTTAGTACGTACCTCTGGGAATTCAGTATCTGGTGGCCTCTCCTGGAACGGCACACTAGGTGCGTGCTGAAGTTTTGACAGATAATCAAGAAGCTTTGCTCTTATTTCTTCCACCATCTGACGGGAATTTTTGTTCTCCATGTTACTTGGGGCAACATAAAGAGTATAATCTGGACCAAAGTACTCATAATATTCATGCTGTGGAATCTTGTCATCAAGCTCCATGCCAAGTGCAACTCCTGTCTGTGCAAACATAAACCATGGCTTAAAAATTTGAACATGTAAAGAAGCAAACCATAGTCACGTACTCACGTCTCAAAGGAAGTACACAAGAAGATTTAAAAACAATAAAAGTGCATGCTGAAGATTGGATAGAATATTAAATTTGGTCAATATGTTTCCATGTACCTTAAATCCAATCTTTTGAAAATGCAAGTTGTGAATTGTGATAGCTCTAGGATGTGTGCTACAGGTGGTGTTAAACAATGGTATACGTGAAAAATCATCATACGAGAGAATAACAATTGTAGATTTAGACTCCTGACTCATAATTCATAACACCTTAATGTCACAATCATCACTACACATGTATAAGCCTTCAAACTGTTCTCACAAACTTATTATACACTTCTCTTGTAATCATACTATAGGCATCTAAACAGACTGGGCCATAAAAATCAGTAGAAAATGTCCATCTTTGATTACTCGATATGGCTGGTGTTTTATCATTTCTTTTGTTCAATCACATATTAAAATCATTTCAACAAAAAGAAACTTTATCAAGACCAAAGTTTGATAGAGAAATATCAGCAATCACATTGAAAGAGCAAAGAAAATGCTTACTTCATAGCACCAGCAACGAGCCACATTACGAATTGTGTAGCCTCCTCCACCCACCAACAACAGTGGCACATTGAAAGACCTCATGTATTTAACACACTCTCCGTGACCTTTTATAGATAAATTAAAGCAGCCCAATCTATCTCCAGACAAAGAATCAGCTCCACATTGCAATACCACTGCACCAGGCTTAAAAACTTCCATCACTTTACCCAATATCGGCTTAAACAACATCTGATAGCTTTCATCGTCAATTCCATCATCTAGTGGAACATTCAGAGAGTAATATTTTCCATTCGCATATCCAATATCACGTATATCTCCAGTACCGGGGAAATAATCTCCAAACTTATGAAATGATACCGTCATGACCCTATCTGTGGTATAGAAGGCCTCTTCAACTCCATCACCATGATGTATGTCAATATCCACATATAGAACTCGCTGCCACCCAAATTAAGTTGATTAATGTGAATTCAAAAAATGTGGAGTGTGATTTAATGTATGTCAAACAATTGCAATCCACAAATAGATTCAAGAGGTGTGTAATGCTCAACTAAAGACATGCAACAAAGCACCGTCTTAAAAAATGCAATTGCATATAATATTCTTTAATTGGAATAACTTAGCCTAGGTGTGTCTCTATATGTGAACAAGCAAATGCAGGTATTGTTGCTTGCAGACAGTAAAATGCAATCTGTCATTGAAAATGATTAGGGTGCATGAAAGTTTATCTAGATACTAAATAAGCCGAATGATACATTTGGATTGTTAGTTTGTGTTTGGTGGCTTAAGTATCTTCAAAATAGAAAACTCATAGGTAATCAGAAGCACACCAGGAAAACAATTCTAGTTGAGATGGTAAACTATGTATATGAATATTGAGTACAAGGATATGTAGGCTAAGATTAGAAGATGAACGTTAGCACTATATTCAGATTGGTTGTTTTTAAGGTTTTAACACATGAGTTTATTGGCAATCAGCTTGCATTTGACCATTATATCTGGTAAACTATGTGCATGAATATTGAGTCCAATCACAATGTGGGTTAACATTGGAAGATGAACTTGCAACATTATTTTCAGAGTGGTTGATTTAAGGTTTGAACGCATGACTCCATTTTCAATCAGCTTGCATTTAACAATTACGGCCATGTTCTCTTTAACTTATTCTTATTACTTATTACTTTTTCTTACTGGAAATTACTTATTAATACATTATATTCCAATCAGATCACAACCATTCCCATCAGGTGAAGAGAACATGGCCTACATCTGACATTTCTTCTAGAATTACATTAGTTCATAAAAGATGATACGCAACCACGCCATACTTAATTGACCCAATGAAATAAAATTGCATATAGCTACCATGAGTGTTTGGTCAGCAATAAAAATAGTACAAACCAACCTCGTGCACTTTGAGGAGCTCTAATATGGCAAGCACTATGTCATTCACATAGCAAAAACCAGAAGCTTCACATTTCTTTGCATGATGCAACCCACCAGACCAGTTTATAGCAATATCACAATGTCCATGGTTCAATTTCACTGCCCCACCAACAGAACCGCCTGCATAAGTTTGACAAAATGAGTAGAGGCCATCAAAAACAGGGCAGTCTTCGCCAACATTGAACCGCTTCAGCTGCCTCAGATTATCTTGTTGTGTTTCTGGAGTAATGCTTCTCAAGAAATTAACATAATCATCCGCATGAAACCTGCAAAGGTCCTTATCTCGGGCAGGATTGGGCTTGAGGACATGCATATGCTGTAGAAGTCCATAGTGTGCAAGAAGAGCATGTGTCATTCGCATTCTGTGCGGCTTCATCGGGTGGCCCTGCCCATAGTAATAATTCCCAACTTCTGGGTCATAAAAATAACTTACTTTTCGCTTCTTCCCATCTGGACCAGATGGTAAAGAATTCCCTCCTATATCCATGACCTGGCATGAATGAAACAATAAAAATCAAGTTGAGCAGAGAATAAAGAAAAAAAGGTCAAATATGAGCCATGATATGTGACTGAGCAGGTTCTCAAAAAAAACTCACAAAGTACAAACTCAAAGCAATTAAGCAACCGGGGAAACGGACGAGCAAGACAGGCGATGGCAAGAAATCCAAGAATTGTGAGTGCAAGTGTGCGACAACTGAAAAGGCCCCAGAGGCAGTGTTTTTCCACTGGAGACAGTTTTTTCTAGTTTGGTATTCTCCTAAAGTTCTTAGTTTGTCTTTCACACTTTCTCTTAGTCTTGAAGTCTTCATTCTATTTCTAAACTTTGACTGTTTATGTTTTAAAAAATTCTGTTTTAATTTTTATATTGTGTGATTTATCTCAAGTATACTATAGTTACTTGTTTATATTAGGTTTTATGCATTTATGGTGTTAATTCATATGGTTATGTATTAAGCAAATTCTACCATGGACCGGTGCATATTAGCGAGGTAAGCAAATGCTTACTGCTAAGATGAGCTATTTTGTCCATCACAGGACTATATATTATTGATATTATTGATTAAGTGACTTAATTATGTTTGAAAAATGTGATTATATGAATCATATACTCCTTCCATCCATGTTGGAACTTCTCTGTTTGACTTGGCACAATTTTTAATGTAAGATGAGAAAGTAGTTAAGTTTCCAAAATTGCCCTTTGCCCATTCATCCTCTTCGTGTTCCATTCCATTTTCAAACCCACCCCTACGTCTTCTCCTTCTCAAACCTGCCCCGAATTAAAAAAATTTGATACTAATCAATAACTATAATTGGAGCCCCATATCAAAGCTGCCCTGCCCCATCGAATTGAACCTGTCCCAGGTCTGAAATAGACCCCAATCAAAACAAAATCAAAACTTGAAAAAACTTATCGCCGAAATCAAACCGGGAGAAAAATAAAATCAAACCTGCACAACAAAATCAAACGTGCCTGCCTCTTCTTCTCAAACACCACTTAGAGAAAAACCATCGCCAAAATTGAAACAAAATCAACCGATTGGATCTTGCCACCGCCCCTCCCCATTGCACCTTCACTATCGCCAAAGAAAAGAAGAAGATCAAGGGTGGGGGAATGGAAAAAGTAGATCAAAGGACGGTGGGATGAAGAAAGAAGAAGATCAAAGGTTAATGGGAGAAAGAAGAAACTAGACATGTGTAGGGGAGGGGGGGGGTTAATGGGATGGTTAGGGTTAGATGTGAGAATAATGAGCAAGGGAAAGTAAGTCTTTTATGCTTATTTAGTTGAAATTTTAGGAAATGGGAAGAAAGATAATGGACAACCCAAAAAAAGTGAGAAGAAAGATAATCGACAGAGGGAGTATGACATCTAATGAATTTATAAATTATAATTAACAAAGCGTATTAGTCTATACCACTTAGTATAAGTTTTTAATTTGGTAGATAACTTATGGAGAAGTTTTTCATAAGAAAATTTTCATCTTCACAAGTAAATGAAAGTGGTAGTGGACCTTCAAGTGGAAAGATGTCTATTAAGAGCATCTACATCCCAAGTGCTTCCCTTAGGTTCTTAGTAAAGCAACGGGTGTCTCCAAGAACCTTTGGGATGTGGTGGATGACATGTAGAGATTTGGAAGCTATGGTTGCTTCCTAAAGCACCATTGATTCCCTAAATTTATTTTTTAATATATTGTTGTAAATAATTTAAGAGATAACATGTGGGCCTATTTTGGGGTGCTAGGAAAACTTCGGTTGGGGTTAAAAGTTGCTTATAATAAGAGGTAACAGGCACTTGTGGGACCTATAAAAAATAAAAAAGGGAAGAATCACGTGGAAGAATTTTAGGATGTTCAGGCTCTAATGTATCCCAATTTCAAAAGATGAAAACTCTTAGGGGATAGTTGTAGAAATTATTATGGAGTATTATCTACTCTATTATATTTGTTCATGCTCTAATGTATCTTATTTACTTAGGAGTATAAGAATTCTTATGTATAATTTCACGCATTTTAATATTTGTACTTTGTATTAGTATTTTGCTTGGTTTGAGAAGTCACGACCCTAATTTGTGCCCCCAACTGTTTGTTTTTTTGGATCCGCCACTTTCCGGCCCCTTCACTGTTTGTGGTTGAAAAAAAAACAAATCATCTTGTAAGTATGAAAAGCTATTTGGAGTGAGGTGGAGTGGCTCTTTTGAGCCACAAACACTGTAAACTGTTACAGTTGGGAGAATCCTTTCCCACCTTTCCAAGTCCAACAAATGCCATTGGGCACCCCTATCATAGTTCAATAAATAGTATATATTGATGATGAAAGCTTGGAACATGTGTATGCTTGCAAGAAAACACATTTGAGATGCCATTTTGTTCCATTTCTCTTTTTTGCTAACTTGAGTTGTTTTAATATTCTTATTTTTTGAAATTTTTACATACAAAAGTTGAAACATGTACTTTGAATGTGGTAAAACCGGGATGCATGAACAGTCTTGTCAACACTCCACACAGACCATCATACTGTCCAATAGCCAATTATGTTGCCATTTTTACACTTGGAGGATGGAAAAGGCTTGAAGGGAAGACCAGCACACCATTCAAACACTGGCCAAACACCAAACTAATTCGGCGAATGAGGGATGAAGCTGTTACGGGTTCCGTCGAGTCCGCAGCTGAGGGTACCGCGGGTAGGGAAGACGAGTCTACATGGAATGAGGCACCGGACGCAAGTGGAAGTGACGACGAAGCGGGTCCAGAGGCAAGGGTTCGTAGGAGTACGAGGCAACGGAAGGCACCTACGTGGCAGGAGGATTATGAGTGCTAATCTCTATTTTTATTATTATTATTAGATACTCATTATTATTATTTCATGTATTTAGATTTTCTTAGGTGAGCAAATATAAGCTCCTTCGAGGGTTTCTTTACGGTTCTTTACCTCGTCGCTTTTCTTGAACCGTCAGGATAGATAACGTAGGAATTAGGGTTGGGCCTTCTCTGTACCTATATAAAGAGAGATGTTCCTTAATTAATGATTATCAAAAAGTTAAGCCAAAAACCCTAATCTTCTCTCCTTGGGCGCACGGCTTCCGTGCGAGTTCTCTTCTTTTCCTCGCCTCAACCTTCTGGAGTTTGGAAGCACTCGAGGCTTCCTTTAAACGTGATACATCTCGTATCAGAAGCATTACTGAGAAAATGGCACGCTGATGTTGGATAGGTGTACAAAAGTTAAATTCATTATTTTCTTGACTGGGAAGTCTTAGAAAATTAAATTTGTCTTGCGGGGTTGGTTGACACGACAGGTTGTGTCGAATTGGATAGGAAAGGATTATCACCCTAAAGCATTTCATATTAGCAATCTTCCATAAAAATGACATACGTCAACTTTCTTTGTGTGTGAAGTGCGTGACATGATTGAAGCAAGATGCCTTGCCAAGCCTTGCTGAGAGGCTATGAGCAATCAATTCAAAAATGCTAAAACTTAAGGGTTTGTGGCATTGATAGGTTAATTAGGCTTGAGGTTTCTAAAATTTCAAAAATTTCAAAATATTTTGGGAACTTGGAAGTGATAATTTGATATCCTTAGTTGATCCAAAAATATAACTAATAATGAAAAGCGCAAGCAAATGAGCTAAATGAATACTATTAACATCGTGGGGTTCTGTTTTAGAAGACAAAGATCCCATCTTTTGGATGATAAAAAAACTAAGACCATGTTCGGCAAGGGTACATTTCCATGAAATGGTTGAAGGTGATGAAATTGTGGCACGAATGTGTCAAGTTGCTGGAATTCCTCCATAAAAAAACCCATATTTTCCTAATTCATCAAAATACTCTAACATGATAATCAAAGTTTCATTATTAGGGAATACAAACTCATTATCCAGTTTCATTATCAACCGATTCAGACTAACATTTCAATAAGTCAATGTCTGGTGAAATATCTTACCGCACTAGATAATCTCCCCCAAACAACATGAAAAGTGCAGAAATTAAACGAATCAGAAGCAATAACGCCACACTGGTAAGCAAGGCAAATAACCAACGCACTTCATGTGGAAGCAATAGGTACGCACCTACGAAGCGCAGACACGCAAAACCTTCAGAGATGCGACGGGATACGCACAGGCTCCGGCTGGACTGAGTTAGGGGTAGAGTTCTTCTTCAGGCCGCCGGCAATGGATGATGGGTTGCGGTGCCTTGTCCCACGATGGGTTTTTGTATACGGAGTATTCTTTTTATCTGCAGAGAATGGTTGAGGCGAGGGAGACTAGGAGAGGCGTTTGGGAGGGACTGTGCATTAGATCTATTAGGGACTTCGGGTCACATTAATGTATCCAATAGAATAAGGCTAGGTTGCCAATCACTCAATAAACTCCTACCATAAACTCCTATTTTATCTAGCTCATTCTCCCAATCACGTCAAATACACGGTACAAATTTAATTGATTTTGGAGTCAAACCTTTTTACTCTACAAAGTCATCTAAACATGCACCCCGCAATTGACTTGGTTAAGAGATGAGTTGGGATTGAAAACGGGTAGGATAAATTATCAGGGTAGAAACTACCAATTTTATGAACGGAGCATCGTAGGTGTCCGAATTGGGTCCGTAGCCATTCTTTTTGGGTGGTTGTATAGAACCCAACAATAGAATACAACTAGTAATAACCCCGTGCTTCGCACGGGCTCTGATATTTTCTAAATTTTGCCACGGGCTCTGATATTTTCTAAATTTTGACATCTAAATTAAAAAATAAAAATAATATTTATTTTAAGTTCTCTAATGATATATGATGTGTTTGATAAATATTTTTTAGTATATAATATCTCTTTTTGAGAGAAAATTTTTAATTTTATTATTGATGTACATGTACTAAAATATATATAAAAAATATACAAAATAAATGATGGATTGTTTTTAAAAATAAAATAAATGCTGGATTATTTATATAAATAATATGTTATGAAGTTAATAAAGATGCACATGTGATAAGATTTATATATGATAGCTTTTTTTGAGATGATGGAATTATAAGCAATATTGTTTTTTATGAATAAATTTTATATAATTTTTTTAAATTATAAAATAGTCACGCATATTTAAAAAATATGTAAAAACAATGAAAAAAAATTTCTAAAATAGTGAGAGAGCAAAAAACTTTGTAAGAAGTTAATAAAAATAATGAGTTTTTATTGTTGAAAAGTGAAGGATTTATAAAAAATAATAAAAATAATGATTATTTAATACAAAATTAAATATGCATGCATGGAAAGACATGTGTCATGTGATTTACATGTGGCGTGACACATGTCAGTAGTATGAATGCGTGGCATGACACGTGTCGTCACAACAACTATG